TATATAGTTGAGCTCAGTGTTTGTGTGCTTGTGTTTCAGCATCGGTATAAGGTGACGGTGAGCATTTATTTGGGTCGCGGAATTGCCTGTATGTGTGTATGTAGGAAGGTGGAAAGTTGCTTGGGGGAATCGAACAACGCCCCCTTTGTTCTGCCCTTGAACTTGCTGTCAGCGCGTTTCTGCTGCGTCGTGCCAGGCCGTCGCCGGGAGGTCTCGGTATCCCTGCTCAGCCGTTGTCGCTCGCAAAGCGCCGATGTCTCTTCTTCATTCGCTCGTTGGTGTTCGTGACAACCAGCGAATGACGTTGTCTCCATTATCGTGTGCCGTGCGATCGCACTCTTTTTGTATGGGTTGTTATCGAGGCTCCGCTTATGCCAGAGAGACGCTGAGCGCTATATATATCTTGGTTTGTATCTGCAGCTAAATTCGTTAATGATGGCGAATCGATATGAATGGCCAAAAATATAACGATAGTAGTTTTGCAGGAGGAATTGTCCAGCTTGCAAAAAAAAAAAGAAAGAAAGAAAATCAGGCGATTTTGGGTGAGAATTTATGGAGGGACAAAAAAAAAACTTGGACCATCTCCCGCTAAAGGGAACCATGTGCAGATGCGAAGCAGCGGGCACCAACGCTTACACTGGCGGCGACGTTAACGCTGGCGCTCATCAAGCAAAAGCCAAGATGCCATTGACATAATTCCGAACGCGCGATCTAGTTGCCTTCGTTTACTGGGGGCCAGTGAGCGGTTGTGCAGCGCGAGCAGTCGCTAAGACGCTGCCTGCGTCGGCCTTGCGAGGCGAGAGAGGGGGAGGGGAGCGACAGTTTTGTCCCCAGGGTAGGAGGCCAATAAGGCCCCAACCCAATCACCTCTCTGTAACCATTTAATGGTTATTAAATGTTTTCACCCCCCCCCCCCCCCGGGGGCGCGTCTCTGCACGGGACGCGAGCATGCGCAGTAGCGGTGTACGGAGGGACAACTGCGCCCGCCGTTGAGACGCGCATTCCGGGACACGATACACTTGGAAGACGCGTCGAACGAGCCTTGCACTTCACATCTCATGACAGCAGCGTGCCGAAACCGAGATTGTCCTTCACTTTGTTATTGATCGTAATGATGGAATTATTGGCAGCTGATATATGGTCGCGTCGCCACGTTGTAGCTGCTAAATTATATAATTGGATCGTAGGTTTTCCGTCTCTCTTCGCTCCGTTTCAACTGTCGACTTCGAGAAGAATGAACGAATCGGACAGATTGATCGGTTATTTTCTTTATGCATATCGGCTGGCTAGCTGTTGGGTATAGGGCGTGTGATTCATGTGGACGCATGCCTTTGCCGCTGGCTGTCCGCCTCGTCCAGGCGACGGTCGCAAGATGGATGGTTCTCGAGGGGGAGCGGGGGCAGGCGATGCCGTGGCGTGCGGGCACGGTGGTCGCGACCGGCGTCCAGCTCCACAGGTTGGGACCACCCGACCCGAAGAAGGATGACGGCTCCCCACCGCCACCCGCAGGCTTGCGCGCATGTCTCTCTCGTGTGTGCACGGTTGTTACTGCAGTTGCTTGGCTGTCCAGGGAGTGCGGGTGGCGCCGCCTTGCGCTGACGCCTCGTTATGGCGTTGTTTTGCGGATGATCTCGGTGTAGAGTGGTGAGAATTTGACGCTATAATTGATCGAACGTCCGTGAGTGGTGTTTACTTGGTAGATGAATGTATCTGTTCCGCCTACGCAGCTGCGATTCATTCCACGTATTTGCAGACGCATGTGCGCGTTCGATTGACGTTTTCTATTTGATTTGCGATCACACATAGCGAACAGAAGCAGTTCTTACCGGGTTAGTGGTGCTGTCATTGATTATGGTCGAGCTAAGAACCACAGTTGGTGTTGAGCGCAGTGAATTCGATCTTGCAATGAACTTATACTGTGCGTGCGTCTGTTTGTATTAGCGAAAAGCGTCGTTTTGTGACCGGGGTTGCAGAGATCTAATGCTGAAGATACCGGTAAAGATTACACACCAGCCTTGGGATGTTTCATGCAAGACTTTTTTTTTTTTTGCGAATACTTGTCAGTATTTACATCGAAGAACTAAAATTAATAAATTATTCTTTTCTGAGTGTCTGTCCAGCCTTAAATCATTTGTCCGCTTCTGTTTGGGGTGATCTAATTGGCGCTCGGTGGTCACGTGGTGCACTCACGAATAGTTCAATCTTGTTTCTTGTGTATTGATAAGGCATCTCAAAGAGATGCTCTCAGTATGTTCGGACGGCGGTGTTCATGGCTGGTACGGTCCTTCTTTGTAGGATAGACAGGCTGCTAAGTTTCGTCTCGATCGTACCAGTGTATAACGTGTGGTGTCCTCCGTGTGGACAAATAAATGCATGAATAAATACTTTAGTTCGATTCGCGCGTTTACTAATTTTGTGTTTTTTTTATTTTCTTATTTTAATAAAAATCTATCGTCTAAATGTTTTTAATGACTGCATCGAAAGGAGCCGTGATTTTCTTTCAGAAAAGGATCGCGTTGCCACTGAGCGAAGCGCCTCCTCGCGAGCCAACTTGCATCTTTTGGTGAGGCCGCGTCGACCCATTGTTATTCAGTATACCATTGTTGACGTGGGTGGCGCTGCCGGTGAAGGGCCAATATTGGGTCTGGGGTTCGCCGTGGTATGGCCAAGCTGGGGCCGGCCTTGGTGTGCAGCATGCATGGTTCCCTTCCAAACCTCACATAAACTGTCTCTGTTGTGGACTAGAGGGTGGTTGTAGCTGTTTTCCGGGACCATCGGCAGCTTACCCTTCACGCCAGGAGAGTAGCGCCATGGGCCTAATTGCTTAGTCTGTTCGCTATGGTCAATCAGGCCCGACATCCGACCGCAACTGGGGGCCCCGGGTGTGGACTTACATGCAGGTCATCCGAATATCCCCCTTGTATTCTGCGCGTGTTTATGATATCCTTTGGAAATTAATAGTATTTGAAAAAAAAAAGCAAAATATTTCTGCTTCTCTGCTACCTTAGAAACCGTTATATTTTTCTCATAAGCAGTACACTTCACCGGAATAACCTGCAACGTACGGCACAACGGAATGGTGTGTATTGAGAATGAAATCATGGCCGGAATGGTTTTGCAACACGATGTTTAGTTGTGTTAAGAACGCGCCCTCATTGTCTTCTTACTATTACAATATTGGTAAACTCCGTCGAGGGTGTTTAAATCTATGACGTAGCGATATTGCAGCATAACGCACGGGCTACAAGTTGTGTCATAAATTCAAAAGAGTGGCACAGTAGGCAACGTCAGTAATCAATCGTTCTGAACAGTGGGTTATGCGAGCTGTTTGGACCCCACAGTGCACTAAAGGTGTTGCCCTGAGTGAAATCGCATGAAACAGCATTTAACTTTCGCGCCTTCGTTGACTGTACAGAAGTGTTGTGGTCCGGGCGAGTTGGTCATCCATGAGCGTAGCTTGTATTAGCCTAGTACATTTTGTGCACTCGAATGTTTACGATAAATGATAGAGAATGCAGCATCGGGAAGAAACTACAGCGGCGTTATGGACAGACGAGTGGTGTTTACAGCGCAGCCCATGGGCGAATGTTGTCGCTCGTTTTTTTTCCCACTTGTTCAACTTCGGTTATTGCAGACCCTTCTATAGGCTACAGAGCAACGCAGTCCTTGACAAGTGCTCTGCACTTGTAAGCCTTCTAATCTCCATCTGAAATTGTGTGCGAATTCATTCGCGGATACGGCCCTCACCCGATGTGAGGAGGCGTAAACTCGACCCAAATGACGTTTAGAGCAAAGCAGGCTTCGTACTCGTTTCAGTTTTAGGTGCAGGGCGTGCTCCGGTAAATTGGGCTCTCAACCCTGGTTCTTGAAGGGCTTCGGTAATAGTGTTTGTGCTGTGATCTCATCTGTGACGCTCATCATGTCATAGAGCCGCGCGCGACCACCACGCCTTTCCAGTGCCCGCTTCCAGGAACGGGACACATCGAGGGGCGCCCTTGTAATCCAGGAGACACATGGCCGAGCGAAAGAGGAAGCGAACGGTTTGCTTCCGTAGAGAAAACGACCGTGACGTAAAGCGTAGGGTGGCCGAAAAGCCCGTCAAAATGGGCCGCGAAAAGAAGCTTGCGTCGGTTGCTTCAACGCATCTTTCAAACGCCGGTTCCCCTGTTCGGAGGTTTTCGTAACGGAAGGTCGCGTGCACGGGAGAAACGCGCCTGCGGCTGGTTGGAAGAAAAAAAAGTTACGTGCGGCGAAGGTGTAGGGGAGACGACGTACAACGGGACCTGCGGGGGAGAGAGTGAGGCGGGAGCTGTTGAGGTTAAGAGTGTTGAGTATTCGGATATCGCGTGCCACGCGCCCGGCACACGCACATTCGGACGCATCTGCTCGGCAAGGAGGACTGCTGGCTCCTTTTTTTGAGCTGTTTATTTGCTCCGGAGGAAAGCTGCCCTGGGCAGGGAGTATAAAAATACTCTCTCGGACCAATTAGGTGCACATGCTTGACCCCCCTCCGTAGACAGCCCCCGTCGTTTCCCCCGCACATGCAAACGCGCACTATCCATCTGCCTTCGTGGCTTGTGCCGTTTTCTGCATTCTTTCTTCCCCGTGTGGTGGATCCCGCGGGGCAAGGAGGGACGCCGTGCTCTTCCTTTTGCCCTCGTCTGCCACCGTTTTCTCGCGCGTTGTATGTTTTGCCTTGCGCGGTTTCTCGTTTTGAATTTCTCTGAGCGCTTGGCGTTTTTTTTTTATTATTTGCGCTGCGGGTTCCTGCTAGGGTCCCCCGACCCCTCGTCGCTTTTCTTCGTGCTCCGGGAGGCGGGCACGCGCGTTGCCCGCCGCCAGCTGGCGTAGCGCCGCCGCACGCGCCTGCTCGCGCGCGCACGTGCCTCGCTTCTGCGCATGCGTCTTCCCGCCGCGGCGTCTTTGTGGCCTTTTACATCTTTCTCCTTCCGTTTTCCTCGCGCGCCCTTTCTTTCGCCTCCTCACCTCGCGGATCCCTCCGTTCGTTCGCCGGCCGGACGCGGCTGCTGCTGCTTTGCCGGCGCATCAGTCGGTCGCGAACCTCGGCGCCGTCAAGTTGTGTGTATGCGGCGCTCGCGCGTCGGCTGCCTATACCCTCACTTGTGCGTGCAGCTTTCGTAGCGTAGGCATCGTGGATTTTTCGTGTACTAACCGCGCCCTGGGTCCTCCTGCCTGTCGCAATCTCCGTGCGCTGTGGCGGCGGCATGTTCTCTGTGACTGCGGCGTTCGCTCGTCGCCGTCGGAGACGCCAGGACGGTGTGCTTGTGCTGCTGAGCGTCGTGCGGCCGCTGCCTGCTGGCGTCGGATGCCGTGCCTTCGAACAGCGTCACTGCTACGGCCCGATGGATTTCCGAGCGCGTGCCCAGAGCAGCAACTCCGCCGATGCCGTCTCGTTGTGTTAACGACGCACGGTAGTAGTAGTAGTAGTAGGTAGCTATATTTAGGTGTGTTCATTCGCGCTGGGCCCCCGCATATCGGAGACGGATCTTGCGCCTCGCTATGACGACGACAATGGTGGATGCGACGACTTTGCTGACGGTGCCGACTTGTCGGTGTCTGCGCGAATCGACCTCGACGACGACTACGACGACTATCGGCGACGGAGCCGCGACGTCGTCTACGCGGCGTACCACCGTTTGCGCCTGCCGGTGTTGCTGCTGCGAATCGCCGGACTGCTGTTGCTGTTCCAGCTTCATGGTGCTCGAACCGACGCGGCAAATCGGTATGATGTATACTCCACCCTTTGTTTTGCTAGCGACGCGGGCGCTGCTCGGCGTTGCAAGATACCTTTGCGTTTACATCACCGCGTTCGGTCAGTACGGCTGGTGGAAAGCGTCGATTCGATGTTCCCGGACATCCGCTCGGCGGCTTCCAGTGGCGGTGGTGAACCCGGTATTTGTGGCCTGTACTCCAGCAACAACATGCCGCAAGCGGGCCTTGCGTCGTGCATATTTTTGCTGGTGTATGAAATGGCGTTGAAAAAAATAAAATGCGCATTTTGGAACAATGTTTGAAAGGTTGACGAGGCGTAATATGCACTTTAGCTCGAGCTTTACTGCCGCGTTGCGAGCAAACGTGCATGTTACGTGGCCGATACCTTATCGTTACTAGCTGAGCAGGAGTGTCTGACCAGTCAATCCGTAGTCTCCGTTGTACCAGTGATATTTTGTGTTCTACTAGTGATACCCCAGCTCGTTCGTATATATGTTTCCCTAGAATTGATATTTTACCAAGCTCAGTTAATATTGTTGCCAGCGGGACGCTTTAACTTGAGAGTTAAAGGTGACGTTGGTTTACGCATGCGTAAATCTTCACTACTGGAGAATGGGAAGGGGATTGATGACAATTATTAGGGCAGTGCCGATGCTTCGGTAAAGCTATGAAAGGCTGTCTTCTATCGTATGTACGTACCAGTGCTGGTTATATACAAGGAGCGTATGAAGTGGTCTTCGTAGGATGCGAATATACTTCGATGTATCGTGTCTCGCGAAAGCGTCGGCACTTAATTCAGAGGCTTACAGATACGAATATTTCTAGCCTTCAAGAAGCTCTATAATTGATTTTTATAAAAATCAGCATGCGTTGGCATAAATCGTGGTTAGCGTAAGCGCATCGACTGTTGTGCGGTGCGCAAAAAGGAAAATCGTCAAGGTTAGCTGAGGTGCAAGTCGCAGAGCTAGATTGACTGAAAGTCTCACTGGGATAGATGTTGAGTACCGAGTCCCTGTGCGGCGAAGGACGCCACTAAACCGTTTTCAAGGGGCAGCACTCTCTCATTTGTCGTAATTGGAACTCAAAACGTTGTCTGTGGCTGCGCAACTTCGGAAATTCCGCGGCACTTATTCGATTCTTCTCAATCGTTTTCATCATAATCGAGGCAAGGGCCCTGTCAGTTACGAAAGTAAAAAAGTTTGAGATTTTCCATAACGATAACTGCAAACGAACTCGTAATCGACCGACCCCCTCTCCTCCCCCCTTTTTCTTGTGTGCGTGTTCACTGGTTGGGGCAGTTGTAAGTGTCGCCGGAGAATTGTTCTCTTTGCTGTTCCATCTCTAACAACTGTAAATGCCTAATGATATATAATACAGCAAGGCGAAGTGTTTTGTTTGTTTTTGCTTGGGAACGCTAGTGCTGCTGTTTGATCACAATACGCCGTTCGGATTCTCTCGAGCTGCGTCGGAAGTGAGGATTGCTTGCGTGAAACGAATCTTGAATGATTTAGCGCGCCCTTTGGAAGCGACGAAAATCAGTTACGTGGTTCTTCATCGCATTGCCAGGAATGAAGGCATAATGCGGAGCGACGAGATGGCCCGCGAAGTTCTTACAATTAGCTCCGGCGACTGAGGGGCGAGTGAGATCAGTCGTTATTTTTCTTGTCGTTTAATGAGCAAACACCTCTTGATGGCCGCGGGTCAGTGGAAAACAAAAAAAACGCAAATGTTATCTTTTGCTTCGCGTTGGCGCCGCAACGGAGCCCTGTCGTCGTCGCGGAGGCCCCCCTCTTCGCGAGCTGTGGACCTGACGAAAAAAAAAAAAAAGACATGCAAAGAGAGGGGAAACAGATCCGGCTTTTAAACGCTCCGCCCTGTGCAAGTTGGGAACCGCCCTGATAATCTGTGCGAGCGCTGCTGTTTCTTTTGCATTCTTTTTTTTTTTTTCTCGACTCGCGCGGGGCTCACTTTGTTGCTTTTGGCGTGTTTTCGCGCTCAACGAGCCCGAACGCCAAGAGCTGCTCCAAATTCCTGCAATTCGTCCTGGGAGTTCAGGAGTGAACACCCTCGCGGTTTTAGGGGGTTTTTTTTTTTCTTGAGCCAGTCCCACGCGTCGCATAGGCCGCCTTTCAACTGTAGGACTGCGAGTGTCGTTCAGTCGAGGGAAGAGATTCGCTCGCTATCGTCGCTTTCCTCCAAACGAGGGATTAGCGACAGCCTCTGGTTTAAAACAGCCACGTTTGTAGATATATATGTAAGCTGCTTTCGACACCCATGTTTCGCGCCTCCTTCGTTCGAAAGCCCGGCCCATTTGGGGATGTGTTGGCGTTCGAAATGAAGTGCCGGACCCATACTTGCAATAACCGAATTATTATGTCGTGTGAGTGTGCTTAAGGAAGCGAGACGAGTAGACGGTACTGGCAGACCGCTGCCATATCCGTTGCCATATCTCTATTAACTTGTATATAATGGCGGCGGATGTAGTAAAACACCCAACCAATTAGCGTAGGAGTTGGGGGGGGGGGGTTCATACCCCTCCATTGAAGTAGTTACATTTTGTACGTCTGCATGCACGCGCGCAAACACATGAATCAAAATGCATAAAAAATTGGGCCGCCGCTCCCCCCCCCCCCCCTTCTCTAATGAATATTACCAGCTTCTGATCTAATGAAACCGCACATGAATGATTAATGTGCATGTCAGAAGTATCTACCCGTGTGAGATATTGTAGTCGCATCGGGTCGGTTTATTTTGTTGGTGTATCGTGGCGCTAATGAAAGTCGCCAACCAACCAACCGCCCGGCTGGCAAGTTGTTTCGTTTGCTGACCACACGAAATGCCTTGCCCGCCGAGTTGTCTTTCAGTGCGCGTTCCTCGTTTATCACTGAGAACGTGACCCAGAAAGCAGTTTATGTTAGCGAATAATCGATTATTTGCGCACTCAGGGCTGGTTCATTCGGCGAAAGAATGTTCGGAGAAAATTGAGTCCCTAAATTTCCGTTTATCGAATGGCGCGTCCTAACGTAAATCGTCATTTGGACATCCAGACTTCGATGCCGACCTTTTTCAAGTGTTTGTATCCTCCAGAGTTCAATAACTTACTTCCTTGCTTGTCGGTGAAATATTTAGCCCTCTCCAGACCAGGAACCGTAAACAAACGTCTGAAGTCTTCGTGACGTTAAGAGGGGGGGGGGGGCATCATTTTTGTAAAAGAAGTGCTGTCTGTCCCTACGCCGATTGTCTCAAGAATCGCGTCCGAAAATTCTCAAGAACAACATAAATGGGATCGTTGTTTTTCACCTTCATAATTACCATTTCTGTGGCGGCTGGTTAGTATGGCTTGATGCATTAGGGAGTTTTCGAATAGGGGCCCCAAAGAAATAGCTTCGATGCCACTGCGCATGCACAAAACCCAAACCGCGTTTGGGTTTTGCGTTGGGGACACTTTTTCTAGAATTTAGCGGGAGGCCCAAAGTCTGCCCCCAAAAGCTTTGCGTCAGACAAATGTGATGGTACTCACTGAAGGGACATGGACATGACCAATAATTGAGTGCCGCAGACCCTATTCGAAAACTCTTCGTTTGCTCCTGTTTACCCCAAAGCGTGCATGCGCAAAGGGCTTTCAATATATATATATATATATATATATATATATATATATATATATATATATATATACATACTTTTGGTCTCGCGTTCCAACATCTTCGTCGTACCATGCACAACCAAAGCTCTCGGCAACACGTGTTATGTTGATATTTTTTTAAAGAAAATGGGTTAGTGAGGTTCAGCACCAAACATCACGCTGTCGGATGCCGAATCACACTGACGCACCAAGGCTATGGCGGCGCTTTCGCTGGCTCCGCTTGCGAGAAAAGCTCAGTCAATACCTCCTTGCGCTCACGAGTGATGGCGAATTATGCACTATGCGATACTTCAACGCAGTAATAGCACGAAGGCGAGTTATGAAGGTTTATGAAGTGGAGGTTGATAAGAGCAGGTGTACATGCAGAGAATACTACGATGAAACTTGTACCACGTCTCTAAAGCTCTTGGGTCACTGGCACATAGCAATCTTGAGAATCGTCCTAGGACAGGAACATGTGCAATTGCTAAGTCATGGTTAATCGCATAAATCGAAGAAGCCCTCGGGCGTGTTCGGTGCGAGTATTTTCTCATCTGCTGCAACGTATGCTGGCATGTTCTTGAGTGGATTTTTTTTCTCGTTATTTTGTACTGAAGGTTTATGTGAAGATATATAGGGAAGTGTCCAAATCCTGTCATCGTTCAACCTTTGTTGGTGCCCACACGGGAGAACACGTCGCAGGTATACTGTGGCTCGGCTGTCATTGTACTGCGTTTTGCTCTCTCTAGCGAAGCATTCGCCGAGGTTGCGATAGGCAGCAAGTGTAGATATAGCCCGCGATGCTCAGTTTTCTTCACAAACGCAGTGATCAACCGTGTGAAGGTGTGACTCGGGTCTGCGCAACGCGAGCTTTTTCGTAGCTGCAACTCGTCGCGCACACTGCGGGCCCATGTCCTGGTTGTGCACTAATCACGCCGAGGTTGCATGGAAAGTCGCTAAGGGTGCACGAGAAAATGTGGTGGCTGTGCGAAAGGGCGTTGGCGGGTAGTTAGTTTGTACCGCTGAATTTGAACAGCGTGGCTGAACGCGGTTGCGTTCAGCCACGCTGCGTTATGAGTTGGCGGTGCACACGGCGATAAGCCGAGCGTGTCCCCTTTGGCGTTGCGTGAGCCCCGTTTTGTTGAGTCGCATTTTGGCTGCTGCGGATGCGGCCCCTTCTCGGTTGCTTCTGCTCGGCGCGCACGACGTCTCTTTCAACAACGAAGCTTCGGCGGCGGCCCTGTTCGTCTGCTACAGTGTGCCCAGCTTTTTGGCAGCCTCGGCTGAGGTAGAAGGCCGTAGCTAGCGCTGAGGGGGCTAAGCAAACGATTGCTGAACCTCGCGTGCCATGGGTCTCGTCGTCCTTTTTGCTTTTTGTGTTGCGG